AAAGGAGGCTCGGCCCGAGGTTGGGCTCGATTTCCACGAGCCGGGTCGACTCGAGCTTTTTTTCTAGTCGAGCCATGAGCGCTCGAGTCAACTAACAAATTTGACATCCCTAATTTGCCCTATAACACAACATTTATCCATACAAAGCTCAATCATCTTGAGTGCATTCAGGCTTTGTTTTGGTAGAGATTTTTGAGATCAAACTTTATAAAAAGTCTATTTTTAGAAGAATGTCCGATTAAAGAGTAGGAAAAATTATGAATTTACGTAAAATAGTAGTACAAAATAAACTAACTCACGTAAACGTAGTATTAATATAAATTCATTCGATTATGTTACATGTAAATCACTACTTAAAGATTTGTTTACCAACAATGATGTAACAAGGTTTGACTGAATCAAAATTTCACCAATCAAATAAAAAAAATTCCATCTTTGTTGTGTCATTGAATATTACATAAACGCAATCATTTAAGTTGTGGAAAAATTTTGACTACATCTCATCAATCTGTAAAAGAATTTGTAAATAATGATGTACTACAAACATTTTGCCAAGTTCATTTACCATAAATTGTAATTGCTTTTTCAGCAACAACAATCAATTCTAATTTTCAGTTCCCTTCGCAATTGTCATTTTCTTACTAATTTTAGTTTCGGGACGATGTAATGAGCTTGAACATAGATATAGAAAGAATAATATTATCTTCAAAAGACTTTTTACATATAAGATACTTTCTATGTTTAAAGAGTCAACCCTTAAATTCATGTTTCAAAAGATTATTTAAATTAATATTTAAAATAGAGTGTATGTTAGATTCACCAACTTTGGAAAGTCAAACACACTCTATAATTAGATGCCTTCAAAGTATTTGAATTTTCTATGAAGAAAAATAATATAATAATTTAGCGTTACATGATTGAAAATAAAAGATAGAGAAAACTAGAAACATTTTTTGAGAGTAGTAAACTTAAATGTTAAATATAAAGAGCATGTTGAAATACATAAAAGAATTTACTATTTCAACTTATAGACACTTTTTAAATTGTAAAATATGCTTTTTAAAATTAGAAAATATCTTGAAAATGCTATAACACGGTACAAGTAATAATTTTAAACTTAGCTGAACTATTGTAGCCATTTCACAGGCAAAAACCTTTAGTGAAATATCTTAGCAATTATAAATTAGAAAAAAACTTAAAAAGTAAAATAAGAATTCAAAATAAAGAAATTGATTATAATTTTGTATCTTAGGCACAATACAAATATTGTATCAAAGCTTATAAGGGGTCTTACTGGCCCCTCACATGGGGTTGGCCCCACGCAGACCCTGATGCCATAAAAAATGAAATAAATAAATAAATAAATCTCGACCTCACCCTATGTGAGGGGTCAGTAAAACCCCTGTAAGGTGTTGTGCCTATATGCCCAACATTGTCCATCTTATAATCAGAAAGAATTAGCTTTAATAGCTGGTTCTATACAAAGCCCTTGTTTCGTATATTCTACCCCTGCCCCCGCCCTCCCCAAAAAAAAAAAAAGAAAAATAAAATAAAATCATTTTCAGTTATACACACTCCAAATAATTTTATTTTATTTTTGCAAGTGGACCCATTATTTTTCGTAGTGTTTAACAACACATTCTTTAATAATTCACTTTTCATAAAATCTACATCAAACCACCTCTAACTAAATTTGCCAAGAAAAATGAATTAACGTCGAAGATAACAACTAGAGAATGAATACAGTGAAAGAAGAATAATTCATTAGTTCAGTTAACAGATATTTTGGGAGTATTTGAATGCTTATATATCTTGTTTTCATCATCCAAAACTGCTTCCCTCCAGGGATTTTTGTTTCATATCTTCTGAATCACCCTAAGTTTAGCACTTCGACTTCGGGTGTTCAGTTTCTCCTCCTGTTCAGATGGTGATATGGGTCTCTTCGTCAAAATAGTTGCATCCCGGCCCTGTACTATCTGTTTAATCCAAGCTTCCTTATCACTACCAAAAGTTTTAATATTTATAGAATCATCTTCACTGCAGTTTACGATATTCAGAAATGCTCGCTTCACAATTCTGTCTTCCAGACTATGGAATGAGATGACAGCAAGTCTTCCTCCAGAAGAAAGGGAATCAAAACAGGCACGAATTGAATCTTTAAGTGTGTTGAGTTCATCATTGACTGCTATTCGCAAAGCTTGAAAAACTCGTGTTGCTGTCTTAATCCAGCCTTGTCTACCTCCTGTTTATATATTAGATAAGAGTACATGTCAAACATAGCATTTGGTTATAAACCTAATCTTCACATTTAATCCATATGAACTCATTTGTGATCGTGCCCATAGTATGGCACTATTGACTGATCAGAAGCAGTCCGCCAAGTCGTAAAGATTATATACCATTAGGAAAAGAAATGAAAGTTATCGAGAGCCACCTCTTGTCCAAGAAGTTGAGTTCCGAATTAGGTCAACTAGTTCTCTAGTAGAATGCAGTCCACCAGTTAAACGAGCCTTGACAATTTTGTTTTGAAGAGAGTACCAATTACTTTCTTCTCCATAATCACGTAAAATCCGTCCTACTTCAGAATCTGGCCAGGAATTTAAAATGTCTTCTGCTTTCAGACTTGCCTGCCATAGATTCTCCAATTAGGTAATGGAAAAGATATAAAATTATAATAAATTTCATTAACAAAACCATATAAAATGAATTAAAACCATATCCATGATGTTGCCACAACTTAAATGAAATTTCCACCACAAAGTTGTAGGAGTTCAAGCATCCACATAAATTGTGGCATATTTCTACAGTCTACACTAGAAAAGCAATCATATGCTGTTAGAATCTGTGGAGAAAAATTATTTGCCATATCATCTAAGATTATGGATAAACTAGGACTATTTGCCCAGAAGCTAAGTCGATGATTGAGTTAAAAAGATTGAAGAGCTGACTTGCAATGGAGGCCTTTAAAATAAAATAAAACAAAAAAATGGCCTACTTCAATCTGGGTAATCAATTATTATCTTTTATTGGATGATTATAAGTAATTTAAAAAGTACCTAATTCGTGAATTATATGGAGAAATCTATGAAATTCTTCCTCCATTCTTCTAAATTAGTTTTCCACATACTCCTTCATGTGCATTATGTCTACTAATATGAAAGCTACTTCAGTTAGAAATTTTATATAGAGTT